ACAGGGGCTTGGAGCAACCTGCTCTAGTGGAAGGTGTCCCTGCCCGTGGCAGGGGGTTGGGACTGGATGAGCTTTAAGCTCCCTTCAACACAAACCAGCCTGGGATTTCTCTCCTAGATTGAAAGCCCTTCCCTGTAGGTGGGTTCACAGTGGTGCTGGGTGGGCATTAGCACAAGTTTGGTCTTGAAGCGCTCAGAGACTCCCCGTAAAACATACTCACTGACCAAGCCCACGGAGCCTCAGAGTGCTGGAGGGGGGAGGTGGGCAATGCATCAGCACAGCCACTTCCCTGCAGACCTCCCTAACGCCCTGTGTGTCCTTTAGCTGACCAGTTATCAACAGACGACTTGAACTCTCTCATTGCACATGCCCATCGCCGCATCGACCAGTTGAACAAGCAGCTGGCGGAGCAGCGGGTGCGGGAGCAGCAGCACATCGAGCTGGCCCTGGAGAAGCAGAAACTTGAAGATAAAAAAGCATTTGAGGCAGCTGTGGCCAAAGCACTGAAGCATCACAAAAGTGAGATTGAATTGGAACAGGAGAAGAAGGTAAAGTGGTGTGTAACGTGCGTGGTTGAGTCTCTGGCTTGAAAAGGACATGGAAGAGTCGGAGGGAGTGCATGGAAGAGCAGCTGGGATGTTCTGAGTGATGGGACACTTTAGATGGGGTTGGTCCCCAAGCTAAGCATGGAAAGGAGAGGCTGAGCAAGGAACCTTCTGTGAAGTTGGAATGGTAAAAAGGAGTGAGCTGGGCTTGTTCAGCCTGGAGAAGAAAAGGCTCCAGGAAGACCTTAGAGCAGCTTCCAGTGCCTAAAGGGGGCCTGCAAAAAGGTTGGAGGTGGACTTTTGACAAGGGTGTGTGAGGATAAGAAAAGGGGAATGGGTTTACACTGACAGGGGAGATGTAGATTAGATCTTAGGAAAAAGTTCTTCCCTGTGAGGGTGCTGAGGCGCTGGCACAGGGTGCCCAGAGGAGCTGTGGCTGCCCCATCCCTGGCAGTGTTCAAGGCCAGGTTGGACACAGGGGCTTGGAGCAACCTGCTCTAGTGGAAGGTGTCCCTGCCCGTGGCAGGGGCTTGAAACTGGATGAGCTTTAAGGTCCCTTCCAACCCAAACCAGTCTGTGATAAATACAGACAGCATGAAGTAAACCTTTCTTTGTGTAAACTGCACTAAGTGCCTGGCGAGTAATCACCAGTTACTGGCGATAGTGGCTTGTGAAGCTGTTCTTGAACAGGAAAAGGCTCAGCTATAAACTGGACCTCAGCAGCTTTTTGAGATGAAACGTGGGCTCTGTCAATGCCACTTCTGTAAAATACTCTGGATAATCACTGAGGTGGGGCAGAATCACAACCTGGGACAAGCAGTTGAAAGGCAGTGGTGCAGTAACAACCTCTTGCGTGCACAGATTGAAGAAGTCCGTGAGGTGATGGAGGGCGAAATGCGGACGCAGCTGCGGCGGCAGGCGGCTGCCCACACCGACCACATCAGGGACATTCTTAAGATCCAGGAGCAGGATCTAAAGGTGGAATTTGAGCAGGTAAGGGGAGAAGTCCCCAAAGAAATCAGGAGAATATTCCTTATATACCTAAAGGAGCCTACATGAAAGCTGGAGACGGACGCTTGACAAGGTCTTTAAAGCTTTTACTACAGATGATAAACTTTTGATAGTTCCAAGTGCAGTAACTATTAAATTCACCCTAATAAGGCTTTTCTCTGGTCTCTTTTATTTACTAAATGCATTGTTCCTCACAAGAACAAGAGATTTATGGAAACATACCTTAAAAATAAGGTGCCTGTATAACTTAGTGGTCTGATCTAGGTGTCTCGCTCTGTTTCAGAACTTAGCAGAGAAACTCAGTGAACAAGAAATACAGTTCAGACGCCTTAATCAGGAGCAGCTCGACAACTTCACCATGGACATCAACACTGCCTTCGCCAGGCTGAAGGGAATTGAGCAAGCAGTCGAGAGTGAGCACTGAAATCACCTTTCTTTAAGGACTAAAGTAGTGTTACCCAAACCTGGGCGCCTAAACCCAGGCTTCAGCATGTAGCTTGTGGTCTTGTGTTTGCCACACTGCTGAGCGAGTCCAGAAAGCTGCTGTCTTATTCTGATCCTGAATTATGGAGCAGATTTAAATCAACTGCTGAGGGGATGGCTGCTTGTCAGAGCAGTGTGTTTAGAGGGATGGCTTTTGCTGCTTACGTTCAGAACTTCCCCTCTGTGTGCACCCAACTGAGCGTCCCCTTCTTGGCTTATGTTGCAGGTCACGCAGTGGCAGAGGAGGAAGCCAGGAAGGCCCATCAGCTGTGGCTTTCTGTCGAAGCACTCAAATACTGCATGAAAACAGCTTCTGGGGACAGTCCCACGGAACCCCTGGAGAGTGCAGTGAAGGCCATCAAAGCCAGTTGTGCTGACAACGCGTTCACCGAAGCCTTAACAGCAACTCTCCCGGAGGAGTCCCTCAAGCGGGGAGTCTACAGCGAAGAGGCCCTCAGAGCGCGCTTCTACACGGTCCAAAAACTGGCCAAAAGGGTGGCTATGATCGATGAGACCAGAAACAGCTTGTACCAGTACTTCCTGTCCTACCTTCAGTCCCTGCTTGTGTTTCACCCTCAGCAGCTGAAGCCGCCTGCAGAGCTCAGCCCCGACGACCTCGACACCTTCAAGTTACTTTCTTATGCTTCCTACTGCATCGAACACGGAGACCTGGAGCTGGCGGCCAAGTTTGTCAACCAGTTGAGAGGGGAGTCCAGGAGGGTGGCCCACGACTGGCTCACCGAGGCTCGCATGACCCTGGAAACAAAACAGATCGTGGAGATCTTGACGGCGTACGCCAGCGCTGTGGGGCTGGGAACAACTCAGGTGCAGTGAGGCAGGATTGTGGCGTTGGAGGTGGTTCAGTGACGGAATGTGCCGGGAGGAAATGCCATCATCTCCTGAGGGTTGCAAAGCAAACTGCTGGAAGGGGCTGCAGGGGTGAAATCAAAGCACGGGTACAGGTTCCTTTCCTTGCACTGTATTTAACTTCACAACCTGTTGTATTTTTCTCGGTTTGGAGTTATCCTGACAACCAGCTTCAGGAAGCTTCTCTACAACTGGTGTTAGAGTTTTGTTTCTCCCCCATCTTACCAAGCAGGCTTGTGGTCAACCAAAATCTCATGTTTGTAACCTGCCATTAACCATTTGCCACTTTGTCAGCTCAATAAAACCAGACTTCAGCGACTTTCTCCTGCTGTTCAGTCTCCTGTGTCAATGTCAGATACAGTCTTTCAGTGCCTGTAGGGGCCTAGAAGAAACCTGCAAAGGGACTTTTGACAGGGTTTGTAGGGACAAGACAAGGGGGAATGGCTTTAACCTGCCACAGGGGAGAGTTAGACTGGATGTTAGGAAGAAAATTCCCCGTGAGGGTGCTGAGGCGCTGGCACAGGGTGCCCAGAGAAGCTGTGACTGCCCCATCCCTGGCAGTGTTCAAGGCCAGGTTGGACACAGGGGCTTGGAGCAACCTGCTCTAGTGGAAGGTGTCCCTGCCCGTGGCAGGGGGTTGGAGCTGGATGAGCTTTAAAGCTCCCTTCCAACCCAAACCAATCTGGGATTCTATGAAAAGCAGCCTCCCTCCATGGCCTGGACAAGTTAAAACTTACCTCTCGTTTGCTCATTGGAAAGGAACAAGAACTTCCTGATCCGAGTGATGTGGCTATTCATTCATTTGTACAGCTGTAAAAACCCCCCTTTTTACCTTATCAGTGAAGAAACACTGATCAAACCCACTTGCTGAAATCAGCAACTGGGGCTTTGTCCACTTGCTGATCCAGTTTTAAACTGGTGGTACAAGAATAGTACAGAGCATCTCACCCCGAGAGCCCTTTCTCTTTGCTACAGCCCAACATCCTTGCACAGGCATGTCTGCCTTTTGGAGCAAACCTTGCCTTCAAGCAGCAGTTACTGCCCCTCTGCTCCTGTACCACGAGGAACCCTTCCAGCTGTGCTTTATCCTACCTCCAGCAGCTGTTGTGTCAAGTTATTCCTGCCGTACCCTGATGTTGCTTCCCACTGCTGAAGCACTTTTGTCCTGCAGCATCATCCATCATTTTCTTCACCAGGAGAAGCAACCCTACTTTTCACTAGATCATGGTTTAATTCTCTCAGGAATGACACCTTCTTCGCCTGTTGAAGACACCACCTCAAAACCCACTCCAGCTTCCTCTGCAAGGTGAGAACAGCAGCACAGTGCTGTGAGCACCAGTCACCTCCAAGGCAGAGAACAAACACCACAAAGCCACCTCAGTAGCTTTACTGCTGTGCTCTGCATGCACTTCACTTACCCTCTCACAGAGCAGCAACACTTTGGAACCAGCAGTGTTTGCTCAGGGAGTACCAGGATGCAGCCAGCTTCCTGTTAGCCATTTATTACACACAACCTCCAGCTGTACAGACTGTAGCTTTAACATCCTTAACAGCCCAAAGCCTATCCCAGAACACCCAAAAAGATGAGGAAGACCACCGTGGGCAATGAGTGAACCTCATGTTTAAGTGGTTCAGTGAAGTTGGCTGGGAAGGAATTAAATCTTGCACAAGTTTAAGTCCCAGGAGAAGCAAGAGAAGTGGCTCAAGCTGTCGATGTCTTGTCAGTGCTGAGCAGCCCCAGGACGTGCACTCCTCACTGCAGCCTTCCTGTACCTCAGCCATGCTGAAGCAGGTCATGGCTGCCCAGCAGGAGCCTGCTTGTGCAGGTAGTGGTGTGGAAGAGACTGTGCTGGTGGAGCCCACGCGGTGTTTGAAGTCACCAAGAAGATTAAACGGGACCCACTCCAGCTTGCTCCAATGAGGACAACATGCTCTTGCCAAGCAGGTCTGGTATGGGAATGCTCTGGAGCGCTCAGCAGTGCTGCAGCACCTCCCAGATGCTGTCCTCTCAGTCATTTCAGTTCTCACAGAAGCCTCCTGGCATCCAGGCAGCAGCTGCTCCCAGTTTTCCACTGAGGAAGGCAAGAGGCACAACTACTCACGGTCACTGTCACTGTCGCTGTCCGACTGGATGCTCTCCAATGTCTCCCTGCATGTGTAAACAGTTCAGTGATCAGTGTCCTGCTGTGACTTCTGCTTGAAAAGACCGATCTAAAACACAGGGTAAACCCCCTCCAAAGAGAACATTATGGGCTGCCTGATGCCATTATCCTCAACGTCCACCCAGCATTTGGTGGAAGCACACCCACTCCCTTTGGAAAAGCCACTTCAGTTACCCAGAAGTGGTCAAGGGTGCTGGACTGCTACGTATTCATTCCCTTGGACCAGACCACTGGTTCCAAACTGTGGTCCCTCAAGGTTAAACTCAGCAACTGAGCTTGGCTGCAGCAGGTCAGCAATGAACAGTGATGCCTGGTGAGATGTACTAAGATTAACCACGGGCCTCAGAACCTGTGAGCCACGTGCAGGCCCATCCTGTGCCCATTCCCTGCTTTTACTACTCTCCAATCAGTTTCTTTTAGGTGGCCAGACCCAGTTAGGAAAAGACTCTGGGAAAGAAAGATGTGAGTGGTGGATAAAGCTAACCCCATTCCTCCTAGATGGGATGGATAGCGTGGAATCAAAAACAAGGGCCATTTTAGGAGTGTGAATCAACCAGAGCCCACACACAGGCACATCATTCTGAAGCCATTTCTCTGCCACCATTCCAGAGGAATTAACCCTTCCAGCACCCTCCTATACCCCTTCAGCAGTAATATGAAGTATTTAGACTTACTTCTGCTTTTCAGAGAGTTCAAATTCTTTCTCCGTTCTGCTTTTAAGCCTGTGAGATGCAGGAAGGCCGAGGGATGCTGCCAGCTTTACCAGCTTAATCGCCTCATCTGGGCAGTTGTTTTGTTTAGCACAGCTCCAGAACCCATCCAGCACCTGATCACTGCAAAAGCAAAGGCAAAGAGTGAGGTGGCCCTTCACTTACAGCAGGGATCTCCTGCTTTAGAGGGAGAGGTGACAGATCCTCACATCACTCCACCAGCCCAATTCTGCTCCTGCAGGAATTTCACCTCAGCCTTCCCCCTGTACCAATGTGTGCACTTGGGAACTCCTATCCCAGCAGAAAGCTTTTAACCCCAACTATGATATGATTCTGTAACACAAATGCAAGATCTCAGCCTCTACCTGAAGTCAGAACCTAAAAGTACTTACGTAGGAATCCTATTGATTTGCTGGAAACGCTCCATCATGTTCCTGTTCAAAAGAAACCAAAATAGTCATTAAAAAAACCATACACACCACAGGAACAGGAAGAGACAGATAGTGGATCTCCTGGATAAGACAAGCCCCTGTTGAAACACAGGCAGGCTCAATTTCATGGAACAATCTTCCCCATGGATCTGAAACAGATCCCATGCCGTGTTCTCACAGATGCAGTGTGTGCATTGATGGCTTCAACACAGAGTAACTAGCACAGAGAAACAAAGAGCTTGCTGGTGGGAAACCTACTTGAAAGTATGATGTCTTTCTAGAAGGGTACTTGCCAAGCCTTTGTTTCAGATGAATCAGGGCAAAGAGAACATCTGTGTTTAACAGAAAATAGCTCAGAACATTCAAATTGGAAGCCAGCTATTTTTATCCATCATTTCAAGTTGAGAGCAGGCAGGACAGCAAATTCTAGTTCTAAATATATCCTCTTCAGAGTTTTAAGTAGGGTTCATTCTAATTAAAGGTTTAATTAAACTCTAAATTAACCTCTTGAGCAGTTTGATTTTCACAGAGTTCTGGAACTCATCAAATGGGAAGCTGCAGGCAGGCAGCAGTGCTCAGTGAAGTGATAAACCCCACCTTGCCACAAGCAGCTGCAAGATGCTCTAAGCCAGCTGCTGCACTAGCTTCTAACCCACTATTAAGACAACTTTAACCTGGTGCCAAGAATGAACAATAAAATTAAGGACCTCCCCCCTCACATTCCCAGCAGGATTTATGCCCTCCCTTTGCCTGCACCAGCACTCACATTGATTTTTGTGATTAAGCTTTGAGTTGCAGGGTCAGCAACCAAGAGCTCACACGTACCAAGCATCCTGGGTCCTGCCAGCCCTGGCAAACAGGAGAGCGATGCAGCCCAGCGTGCTGCCCGTCCACTGCAGCGGGACCTGCTCCCTCCCACCCTGCTCGTGCACAGCTTTGATGTCTTCAGCACACTTGGCAAACGCCTGCTGGATCTGTGGAAGGATTGTGCCATTAATCCCAAACCCTCTAGAATTAACATATCCCCTTCAGTATTAATTCCTCCTCCAGGTCTGTGCTTTAGATGTGTGCATTAACGAAGGTTATTCCTCACAAAGATCTCTCACTTCTGTCAGCACAGTTGTCCCCACCAGGCCAGCTCCAAGATGGCTTAGTAGGTACTTGAGAGCTCTGCAGTACACACAAGCCTTTAACCCTCCTCAGCTTGAGAAACCAGTTACTGCAACATCTTTGGCAAAAATCCCTGAATTTGCCACGTGCTTCCACAAGGATGTGGCTGGCTGGGCTGGATAACTCTTCCAAACCCTGGTAAGGATGTGATCCTCTTCTGTGTTGAGGTTTCTCTGGAAGTTGAAGACAATTCAAAGGACTTAGCAGGCCTGGATAAGCTCACATAGATTTGGAAATCTGTACTAGCATATGCACTGGAACTGGACCTCTAAGACTGACCAAGGGGAATAAACCAGCACTTAAATACAGTCTATATGCTACACACAGAAATGGGGAGACACCTCAGCTCTTTTCACAGAGCCTCTGTACTGGGTTTGGCTGAGATGATAGTTAACTTTCTTCATATTAGCTAGTAGAGGGCTGTGTTTTGGAGATGTGCTGAAATCAGTGTTGGTAACAGAGATGCTGTGGTTCTGAGCAGTGCTTACACAGAGCTAAGGCCTTTCCTGCTCCTCAACCCACCAGTGAGCAGGCTGGGGGTGCACAAGGAGTTGGGGGGGGACACAGCCAGGACAGATGACCCAAAGGATATTCCAGACCATACGAGATCATGCTCAGCATGTAAAGCTCGAGGAAGAAGAAGAAAGTGTGTGTGTGGGGGTATTTGCAGTGATGGCATTTGTCTTCTTGAGTAACCATTATGTGTTTTGCAGCCCTGCTGTCCTGGGCATGGCTGAACTCCTGCCTGCCCGTGGGGAATCGTGAATGAATCCCTTGTTCTGCTTTGCTTGCTCAGACAGTTTTTGCTTTACCCATCAAGCTGTTTTTATCCCAACCCAGGAGTTTTTGGCACTTTTACCCTTCTGATTCTCCCCACCATCCCACTGGGGTGGAGGGAACACGCAGCTGTGTGGTGCTTTGCTGTTTATGGGGTTAAACAATGACAGCTTCCTTACCTCATCAGGGTGCTGATCCCTGCTCATCAACGACAAGATCTCTTCCAATAGTTCTGGTCTCCTATTAAGCCCCATCTGTTTCACATCTGTTAGAGAAAGGCAGCAGTCAGTATGTGTGGCTGGTACCTCTGCTCCCAACTCCAGGCAATATGCTCAGTGAATGGAAGACCATTTTGTAAGGCACTCTCTGTGACTGAGCAGGTCCTCTACTAGCTCCCTTTCCCCTCATTATCAGGCCCTGAAGGTCCTAGGCACTAAGTACATGAACCAAAAGGATTTCTTCTCCCCCTTCCCGCCAGCCTGCAGATTCCTGGGTGCCAGGCTGACTGCTCCCCTTGCCAACAGCCTTCAAGATGTCCAGCACCCAGCCAGCCCAATGGTGGTGACACCCATGGCACAGAACAGGGAAGGTAAGAGCACACAGAGCACTGTCAATAACACCAAGCAGTTACAGTGGGAACATGGACCTGAACTGCTGCTGGATAGTGAGACCCATGACACCTCCAGCACCATCTGCTTCCTCTGAGGACCAAGTGGTGACTCATATTCTTTTATAGAGCAAACCAAGTACTCAGATTTGACCCCATCTGCAGAGGGTCCAGATGATCAGAAGCCATAAGCGAAGTGGTGCTGTAAAATTCTGCTACTTATAAAATTGTATTACTCTGCTTCCACCTACAGAAATTCTGTGCTATTCTACTTATAAATTCTATGCTCATCATATAAATCCTGTTAAGAAAATCAAGCTTTAATTGTAACTACAAATTAGTGCTGTCACCATTCTGCCCAGGATCCCTAAAAGAACCTGTCTGTCCCCTCTGGGTGACAGTAAGGTGTTTTCTGTGTGCTAAAGCCTGTATCTGCATTTCTTGTCTCCTCTTCTTAAGGGGCAAAGCACAGGTAAATAGTTTAAATGAGTTAACCCTGGGCTGTTGGTTAAGGTGCTGCTCTCTGGGAAGCATTCAGTTTTCCAAGACACTGATACTGTACTAAGACTCAGCCTCACTGATAGTCTGTGCAGCCCCAAACACGGGTTCTGCCTTTCTCTAACACAACAGCCCCACCACTGCACGAAGGAATAACATCCCTCAAGCACCTGATTCTGGCTATTCTGAGCAGTGGGAAGTTCCCCAACTACCTCCCACTTGCAGATAAAAGCTCCTGACTTTATGTTGCCTCCATAGCCACGTGGCTATCACTAACCTTCCCAGACTGAAGGGATCCTTTCCAAGTGGTTGGCTGCATCCAGTGCTTGAAGGAGATCCAACATATTTTTAGGAGTTGGATAGAAAAGCTGATGAAGCAAGAGGATCGTTTCAGTAAGCTGTAAGTGTTCTGTTTCTCCACACCAGAGCTCTGAAGCTTACCCTACCACACACTTACCGAGCAGGACATTTCTTTGTACCATTTCAACACCACATCAATTTGTTCCATCATACACAACAAGGAGAAGAATTTTGACCTAGTGGAGGGGAGAAATGTTCCGATTCAGTAAGGATTAGATCAACCAAACCATACAGAAGCACCAGCAAATGATGATGTTCCATTGCAACACTCCATACAATTAAACAAGCAGTACCAATGTTATGAGAGAACTGACACAAGGCAATTGGCAGAATTAATCACAAGTTAGAGCACTGCACTTTAAAATCACAAGAAATGCAATCTCCCTGCATGATGCCAGCTTAGAGGCACCTGGATCTGTCTCAAAGGCAACCTCTGGTTAAGAAACACTTGAAGAAGTGAACTAAATTAACCTTGTTACTTGCGCAAGTTCTCAATATGCACCTGGGACCTAAAGCCAATGTCCATACACCAAGGAATTCAATTTCCATTCATTTCCCTTGGTTTATTTACAGGCTAAATAAGGTGCAACCATCTGGATCATCCCACCTCCGAAACTGCATCTCATTTTGATGATAATTATTTTTCATCCAAGGCCAGGTTGGACACAGGGGCTTGGAGCAACCTGCTCTAGTGGAAGGTGTCCCTGCCCGTGGCAGAGGGTTGGAGCTGGATGAGCTTTAAGGTCCCTTCCAACCCAAACCAGCAGCAAAGCATCCTCTGCAATGTTTGAATCCTGGTTTGTATTCAAACTGACACCACTGCACAAGCCTCTCAATATCAGCTGCACTGCACTCACCAGTAGATATTTAACCGATCCATGCTCAAGAATTTCCAGTTGTCTCCCTTCTCCATGGCCTTATTTAACCGGTAGGCAAGCTTGATGTCCTTTAGATCACAGCACTGTAATGAAACAGTTTCATTTTGGCTACAAATCCAGCACTTAATACAGCCCTCTTAGACTCATGACGTATGAAGAGTAATGAGCTGAGAGCAAACGTTTCTAACAGGATGCAATTCATTGCCCAGGGATTCTGTTTAATTGAGACAAATGTGTGGCTCTCCCAGTGGACAAGAGCTTTCTAACCTAAGATGACACCTTCTGGTGCTGAGACTGTCCAGCTGCTGCAGTGTCACTAGAAACAGGAGGTAGGGCACAGTGGACAGAGACTTACGTAGCCATCTCTAGCAAGAGATGCATCTCACAGGCATGCAAGTTACCAGTTTAGCAGGTATCAAGCAAAGAACTGCAGAATCATGGAGGTAAGTTAGAGGAGGGGATGAACACAGGTGAAAAAGGGAGATATTGGGAGCTAAATCTTGTAGGACAAGCTGGAAAACTCACAGGCAATTCTTAGGTGGAGGGCTCAAAGGAATTCTGACTACAAGGATGAGGCACTTACCGCTTGCATTGCAGTCATAAAAAAGTTGGCTGAAAGAGAGAAAATGGCATCTGTGAGCTTCAAACTCTGAATGACACAAACAGCAGCTCATTAACCCAGCCTCCAACAGGACACAGGAGATATGTTCAATTAGAAATTTGTATCTGTTTGATAAAGACTTTATATGTAAAGACTCTGGTGTGGCTTGAGTTTTATCATAGAATAGTTAGGGTTGGAAAGGACTAGTCAGTGTTGTAAGGCAACTATACTGCCATGCTTTTGGAAACAGATTTAAGCAGATCGGTTTGACTTTAGGTTTACAAAAGCTATGTTCTCCTGTTTGATGCAAGACTGCATTATTTGCCTTAGAGGCAACAAAAAAGGCAGCCACATCACTTACCTTCTCTATTTACTCCAGGGGAAGAGAGCATGTGCTGCTCATGGCAGGTTACCCACCTCTCTAGTACACCCCAGAGCTGCCCAAGAACTGCCCCCTGAAAATGTCTCTTTCCCATTTCATGACACTTTGACTCTGGTTTCTGTAAGTGACATTTCAAAGCAGCACAGAGACTGATGCTGCTTGAGGGAGGCAAAGAAAACCGCAGCAGGAGGAAGAACAGAAACTATCTGCTCAGTACCTCATTTCATTTGTGTGGTGAGAATTTAGGCTTTTGTGGTTTTCTGAAGGAAACGTAAGGGCACTGGATGCTGTCAGAGACTGAAACAACGGCTGCCTGTGGGTAGCAAAATGGGGGCAATTTACTTAAAGCCATTAGATACAATACACCTCCCTTTCCCTTGCAAGATGTAATAAATTAACTTAACCCAAGCTTAATGAATGCAGATTGTGAGATATATTGAAGTCCCTACCGTCATCAGGGTCCTGGGGAGTGAAGCTCCTCTTTTCAACATCATCTAGCACCTCAGAGATGATACCCGATGGGTGAAGTTCAACTGTGGGACAAGAGACAAGCAAAATCACATCTCAGTCGTGCCAGACACTTCACTAATGAGAGCAGCAGCCTGCAAATACAATATGGGAATGGAAACAAGCAACATCGCTTCAAACAAGCATCATTATTCTCATGGTGCTCCACACCAGCTGCAATTTTATTTGCTCTGAAATTTGCTCTGCTATTGCCAGACTTCCACAGCACAACAGGGCATCAAATCACACGTGCTGTAGTCAGATCCAGCCTCCTCAGAGACTCAGTAGCATCTGCACTTTAGCTTCAGCAACTTGTAGCCACAAAGGGAAAGGAAATGGGCTTTCTTTCCAGCTCTGGCTGTTCTCAGAACACAAGAACTCTTCCCACCCTGTAAGAGGTTATCATCCTCTGCAGAATCAGACTGCAGAGGTAACACTAGGACTGCCTACACAGGAGGTTGTCTTTTCACCTGTAAATCAACTGCCTTCACCCATCACATTTGGAAAGCACTTAAAGCAGATGTTAAACAGGACATGTTCATGAAAAAGGTGACGTTGCACGTACCGCCTCTATAAAACATGAAGAGAAGATGCTCATATGTGGCAAGGCTAGGCTCTGGAAAGCAAAAACACTGAAGTTACTTCAACATTCTTGGCTAAGCTTTATGCCTGAGCAGCATGCATACAACTACTCTAATTTCTACAGTACTACAGTAAGGACCCAGTTGAGAAAGAGCCTGTGGGCTAGAACACATTCCCCCACTGCATACACACACCTTAAGCAGCTAAAGGTAAATACAAGTAAAAATCTAATGATAAACATGCCCCTAACTTAAAACCTACAGCACCAAAATGCTTCTTTATTTGACCTAATGGGCTAAGTACACCCACTGTGTTGCAATTATTAATCAACAAAGACTGAAGATGATGATTCAGTTTGAAATCCACAGGTACTGGCTCGCTGAGTGGCCCCAGCTTAGAACTTCTCTTTATTTCTCAGTTCTCTTGCAGAAGGAAACAAATAGTGAAGTTGAGAACACCAGGAGAAATGCCTTTTCCACATGCCCTGGACTTCCTCCCTGCAACTAGGAATCACTGCGACTCTTGTATCAACTATTGTGGAGGTGGCATTGGAATATAATAACCATTCTGGTTCTCTTACCTATATCAAGTGCTTCCATTTCCTTTATTACCAGTAACGACATACTTCTGCCTATACCACCACATCTTCTCAGAGTCTTCAGTAAAGCATTAAAAGTTAGCAGATTTGGTTGCACTTCCTGTTGAGCCATGTGATTTAGGAAGTCCTTAAAGAAGAATCCCCAAATTCTTAGTGCTTTGCATGTTATAGATCACAGTTCAGCTGTCAGGTAGGTGTATACACTCATTTCCTCAAGCTAATCCTTCTCATCCCCTTCAAGTGAATGACTCCACCTCAAGTGATCATTTATTAAGGGAATACCATCTGATTTTTAATTAGTTTAATAAAAACCCAAGACTACAAAATTACATCAGATCAGACCTTGGAGAATTGTGTCTCATCAAGGAAATTCTTTAATTTACAAACTATTTTTCCTTACTGATGTTATGGCATTAAAAACTGGAGCCTCTCATGTCACCCCTCAAAATTCCATTTCCATCCCACCCCATGAATTACAATTCAAAGAGGTTTTATCTAAAATGGTTGGTTTGGTTTCATCTCCCAGTATAATTTCCCCATTCCTTTCTGTCCAGGAATGTTCTCAAAAGGCAATGTTCTCATTCTGCAAGGGCAAGGTTGGACTTTGTATGTTTTCCACTCCTCAATAGCTAGTTCCTACGTTTAAACCAGTGGACTTCATTTGCAGCAGATATTAGCATCTTTGTACAAAGCTCTCGTTTTTAGTCTTCTAACAACTGCAAAATTCTACTGGTAATGCAGACCCAGCCCCTACACTCTTACTCCTTCCCCCCCTCTTTTGCTCTACTGCCTTACCTTGGCTAACTCCCATCTTTCCAAGAACCTGTCCTTTAGATGTGGGACTACTGAAATCAGCGCGTTGAAGGTGTGCACATCAGCTGGAAAGTGTAAGGTAATTCATTTTAACTGACAATTGCATTCTACAGAGAACAGTTTGTGCTGACATGGCTCAGACTTTGGCAAAGTCTCATGCAAACCTGGTTCCAGTGAGCCAGCCACATGCCAACTGCACTGCACCAAACAGCTTGCATTCAGCTCCCATGATCCAGCTGAGGTCCGTACCCCTGCGCCAATCATCACTGCCATGAAACACACACTCATGTACCCAACAACAGGTTTCTGCTACTAAGAAGACTACAAAGTAAAAGCAGGAGGCACTTACCCTTGTGTCTTTCATTCAGCAAGTCTATGTACATGTCATAAGCTTTAAGAAAAGCCCCATGCTGCAAAAAAACAACAAAAATTGAGTCTCTGTGACTGTGTGAGATTCCACAAGCTGAAAAAAGCCCTCCCAGTGCTGAAGGATAACTTTACCTTCACCATCCCACGGATCATTGTGCAATAGGAGTGTGCATTCCTCTCTGGCATTATCTTAAATATCCTTTCAGCGTTGTTGTTCTCCCTAGAATCAAGGAACAAGCTGAATGTTAAAGAATTCACCAGAAGATACCCTTAGGAAAAGGATTCAACACGCAGAACACAAAGCAATGGGCTGTACACCCAAGGGCTGACATACATATATATGACTTGTGATACTTTGAGCTATTCTACCATCACTTATTCAATCTCCATCAATACTTTAAAAGATTAGAGATGTATTTAGCAAGTATCACCCATCAGTATGGGCTGCTAGAAGTCTTGGAAGTCTGTTTTGTATCAGTGCATGTGCACAACCCACTGAATACAGGAATACTGGCAATATTTTCTGTACCTCCATCGAGGGCCAGATGACTGTGAACCTCTTTGGAATCGTCTCTTTGGAGCCTTCTGCTCTGAAGCATTCATCTGGAGAGATTTTGGCAGAAATAAGTTTCTCAAAGGTCAAAGTTATGATTCAGTATCTAATGCCGTGATTTGGGAACAACACAGAGGTTTATCAGCAATTTATATGCAGCCAAAGGTTGGTTTTAATGGGTTACATCAAAATGATTTCTATTATAATGCTCAGGAAGCAATAACTAGATTAATATTTATGTTATTAAACATACTAACAAGGTAAATTATATGTATTTGCGGAGTGGGTGGGAACCGCTAGACTATAGCAAATACTCTGTAAAACCCTTTCTCTCTCTACAGTCTTCCCAGGGACAGGAATTGTGCAACGTATCTACTGCTGTACCCTGTGACCTGATGCTCTAAGACTACACAAGGAGCCCTGAACTTCACTGAAATCTCATCAGTGTGGTTCAGACTGGAAGAAAATTAACTTGTGAGCTGCACTAGAGGTGTTCTTTGCAGGCAACTGTAAAAGCAAGTTCAGCAGAACTAAACCAAGACAGGGTTCTGGTTACTAAGTTCATCTTTATGGAAACTCCTTTTACTACTAGGTCAGACACTGGATTTTTGTAACTGCTGTTATTTCTCTTGGGAATGTTGACTTTATCTGATCTACCCCATCTCCCAGGCAGGTAATCACAGACATCACCCTGATACACTCCCATTACATATGAAAGAAATAAAGAAATGGAGATCAACAGGGTTTTTATACCCCTGCTTCTTCCAAATCCTCTTTTGCTTCTTCCAAATCCTCTTTTGCTTCTTCCTTTTTTGCTTCTGCCTCTTTCTCCTGTGCAGATTCTCCATCTCCATAGAAGCATAACAAATCTAAAAGCCTGTTTGTGGTCTCCAGAGATACAGGAGTACCTGTAGAAAATGAGGAGCAAACAGTCACAGAGAAATTAAAGAACACACCATTCTACAGTCATATCAGAACACTTTTGAACACCCAGTTACATCACTTTGCTCTCTTTCAACATAAAGGCAAGTGTGACACCAGTACTTCCACAAACCCTTTCACAGCAGGAGACAGCTTTAACACTGAACTCGAGTAACTGGGTTTTTGATTGAAGTCACTGAAAGAGTAGTTGTCCTGACCAAGTGGGAGAGGGAAGTGGCAGCTGAAACTGTAAAGCAGCACAAGCCCAACAGAGCATCTGAAATTTCCACTGCTTTTCATAACTACTCCTAGGATACACCCCTGATGTGAAGACCACTTTGTGCGTTCCATTCTCTATGAAACAGATTTAAAACCAACCAAAATAAAGAGCTATTTGATCGAATCATCTCCTTTCCACCTTGTAGCAGATATGAGAAGGTCTCGCCTTCCCAGTAAGCCTTCCTCCTTCAGAGGCTGGTGGCAGTTGGTTTTCTATTGTCTTCTCCTCATTCACCATAACAGAGATAGGGTCCAAATTAAGGAAGAACTGAGAAAGACTCATTTATTGAGGGTAGGTCCACAGAAGAGGCACTCAGCTGCTATGCTGCACCAGTCCAACACAGCAGCAAAGTGCTCAGCACAGATGCAGCTTATAGCAACCAACATGCTACTGCACAAGGGCCCTTGGAGGCTGAATGGTTATCACTCAGACACAGCCCATAAGAGTCTCTGCTCCACAGCATCACAGTTCTTTTGCTCTGGAAGAGAAGGATGAAACTCCACACCCTATTATCTGCTTCTTGATCAGAAATCATTTGTTCTCCTTATCACCAAAGTGACATGTCAGACATGTAGCAGATAAGGAGGGCCCAGTGATTCTGGAGAACCCCTCCACCAGACCAGAGTCAGCTGTGAAGGGCAGCAGAGTAGTCATGAAACTGCCTCAATAGCCTGTGCCAGCTACTAAGATATTTTTGGCACAATTTAAGTAGAGCTCCACCACAGAATCTAGCAGGTAAGCACATACCTGCTTGTACAAGCTGATCAAACAGGTCCACAGAATCCTTCACCCTTCTGAGGTGGATACGCTCTTTTAGAGCTTCCTCACTCACTCCTTCAATCTGAGGTGTCAGAATCTCAGGCATAAAGCACTGAAAGCAAAGAGTGTAAGTTAGACACGAGCTTAAACCTTCTCTAAATCATCTCTAAAAAAACTAACCACATACAGAACCACGAAGTGGTTTGGGTTGGATAGGACATTAGAGACCACCTAGTTCCAACCCCCTGCCATGGGTAGGGACACCTTCCACTGCCCTGGTTGCTCAAAGGCCTTACTTCTGCTCAGTATCCTTACTTTTCACCCACAACACTGCTTTGATAATCTCATGACCCTTGCAGCCCAACAGCAGCAGTCCTTTTGATGATGAAAGAGCACACGCCCTGATCTCTCACTTCCATGCTAGGAAGTCAACATAGAATGGTTTGGGCTGGAAAGGACCTTAAGATCATCCAGTTCCAACCCCTCTGCCATGGGCAGGGACACCTCACACTAGACCATGTCACCCAAGGCTCTGTCCAACCTGGCCTTGAACATTGCCAGGGATGGAGCATTTACCACTTCTTTGGGCAGCCTGTTCCAGTGCCTCAGCACCCTCACAGTAAAGAACTTCTTCCTTGTACCCAACCTGAACTTCCCCTGTTTCAGTTTGAACCCATCACTCCTTGTCCTGTCACTACAGTCCCTGATGAAGAGTCCTTCTCCAGCATCTCTGTAGCCCCCTTCAGACACTGGAAGCTGCTCTGAGGTCTTCATGAAGCTTCTCTTCTCTAAACATCTAAACAACATTTCTTCTTCTATCTAAAGAACCTGATACAAGATTGAATTCCTAAGGAAAAACATTCACTTCACAAACACAATGGAAATACAGTACTGCCTTCACAGCTGTCTGCAAAACAGCTAACAAAATAATCCTCTTACATTAGTTTTGAAGCAGACAGTTGATTTCACTACCTGACAAAGCACAGACACAATGAAAATTAAAAGCAAAAAGCTTACTGGTACGTCGGGCTCTACAGATATCTTGTCAAAATACTGAGGAAACTGCTTAATAATGAATTTCGCAGCATTTATCCCAGACTCCTTCGACAACGCAAACAGCCGCTGCACAGGAACGAGAGAGAACAAGAGGAAGAAACACGTCATTAGAACATCTTCCAGAACACTGAGCATTCTGATAGGATCCAACTGAATTCCTGTTTCATTTGCAACCCTTAGTAAAAACAGGCGTGAGACAAGGTTACAGAGACATTTGTCTTGGTATTTATGCCAAGGTAAGAATGCCTGTTCTTTAATGAGGTTGTCATTTACTTCCTTGTTACTTAGTCAAGATACAGAGTTCTGCACCAAACGTGACATGGTGCACTACTGCCTCAAGCTGAAAAGCAGCTCTGTTTTTAGAGTTATGGCACTTGGACATTTCTCTCAATGGCTTTCATTTCAAAGAGCATCACCTGATTCCCATTTACCTCTTTTCCTCAAGTTCTAAAGCCTGTTTCTTTTCAAACTCTTCACATTTGATTGCTGCCTGCAGGCTTCTCAGTGGCTTCACCCCTGATATGCAGAAGAACTGAAGCCACATCATTGATTTGCAATGATGTATCTCAGCTCCCAGTCTTCTCTCTACACTCCAATTAACATCACACACAGCAGTTCCTTCTTGCCATCATTTCCACTTCTGCTTTCTCATGCTCTTTAATCTTAGGCAAAGGTAACATCAGGGGAAGACTCTTTCATAATGCTCCTATTTGCATAAGCCTAAGTTAACAAATAGCTGCTCTGTGATAGAACTAAAATTCCTGGGGCTTGGCCAGGACAGTAAAATAGCAGCATGTAGTCTATGTAGTAAAACATACACAAGTGATCTTGGGTGTTTTAAGTCACATATTTAATTCAAATTTAACCATAAGCACAAAATCCCAGCACCTGGAGCACCACATACTCACAGTCTGTAATTAAATTCACAGTTTTAATGTCTCACCTACAGAATCACTGTTCTCAGAACATGGAGAAACAGAACAACTCAGCAAATGAGCCACTAACTTGCAGGAATGTTAACAGAGCTGTGTCAACTGGAAGGTCCCTACAGGGGTAGGAAGAAGAGAGAACTCTGTGTGTGCAGAGTGGATTTCTCTTAGCATGCAGAGGAATGCTCCAGTCATCATGCATTCAGAAATATACAGAGGAGAAAAGGAGTCTGATGACTTAATTTTCTTTGGTAACTGCTGAAGCCCAAATGAAGGGAATTAAGGGGGAAGCTATCAAAGATCTGAAGGGAAATACTTACAAAACTGGCTGCATTTTTTGGCATAAGGTAAGGGTCATCTGGGAACATATAATGAGCAGCAGTAGGATCCTGTAGAAAGCAGAACCCAAGGATTGAAATGTTTAGTTATGTATTATACATGCACGGTGTAGTCATGTCACACTGCCTCATGGAATTTAGGACACATGAACTTCCATCATAATCACCACCTGATGCCCATTTAACAGAAGTTCCTCCAGTTCAAAAGGGTTTAATCTGTTTGGAAATAGCTTAAAAGCATTTCCATTATCCACATACACAGGCTAACACAGCAACAACAGAAGGGCCCTTACTATAACATGGCAAGCAGCAAATGCCCTGCAAAGTAAGGAGAAACCCAAGTGTAACAGTCCTGGGGAGATGAGGGGACTTGTAGGAATAGATTGAACTTCCAGAATTCCAGACAGACAGGATTAAAGGATCACAGCATTTACAGCTGTTGAGTAGACACTCATTGCTCTTTGCAAGGCTTGCTTTCTGCACTGAGATTAGGAAGAGGCAATCTGGATTGGGAAGCTGAATTGATAAAGGAACTTGCTCCTGATGTTAGCAGAAGCCATATCAAAGTATTACAGCTTTCACTGGGAGCTGCAGCTCTCTCTTAGCACTAAAATGAGGCTTTAAGGACACAGCAAAATGTGTTCAGCACAAGTGAAACCCTGTAAAAAAGGGATTTTGGATCCCTGGATCCCACCTTTCACTTATGGCCAAAGCAGAATTAAGAGCCCTCGAGTGCAAGGCTTTCCCTTGGGATGGACAAACCGACCTACTTCCATGATCAAGGGAACTACTTACCCTTTTCACAGTAGAAGCCAATGTCTGAAGAACTGCCAGTTTATCCCTAAACATAAAGGAGCTCTGATTAATACTCAGTTGCAGACTTTCAATGTTATGCATTATATTGCATGTAGAGCAAGCACAGGCTTATCCTGGCCTTGTGCTTTTCAGGATTTTCAGTTCTAGGAAACAGGTTTTTGCTGCACTTAGAAATTACCACTTTTTGCAAAGGGAGGAAAACACAACTACTAAAATAGTCTCACTCCTGGAACAACAACAGGTAAAAGAAAAGACTGATGAAAACTAGAAAAGATGTGTGCCTCCTGCTACCACTCCTGTCCTTATAAATAATTAAAAAAGGAACACTGGGAAGGGACACAGAAAGAATTCCCTGGAATTCTGGCTCCTCTCAGAGCCCCCTATCTGAGGGATGGATAAACAAGTCCCTCTCCAAGACAAGTCTTGGGAGGGGAAAAAAGAACCCAAAACAAAACTGGATTTTGCAGGGCTCTTTAAGACTTTGCTGTGTTTCAAGCAAAGGCAAGGCCCATGAGAGTGTTCAGGTGAAGGTGGTCTTATTTTAGGTTGACATGCAGAAACCATTTGGCTATAAACTTAACGTTTGCTGCAGTCACGCTAGTTCTCCTTAAGTGCTTCCAAGAAAGCAGCTTTAATTCAGCTGCATCATTTATAATCTGGATTTATTCAGACATCTATCAATGGTCACGTCTATTTTACTGAAACACACCCACATGCAGCCAGCCAAATGAACCTGATGTTACAGATTTCTAGCAAATGGGATCTTTTACAAAGCAACAGAACTGTGCTTAAAAACACAGTCCTTGTAACAGTTCCTAAAGGTCAGGAATGGAGTGTACATACTCTGCACAGAGAGTAAGACTCAAGAATATTCCCAAAGCTCCCATTCAGCAGGGAAAGCCACTAGTGGGACATTAGATTCAGGAACACAGCAACCTGAATTTTCATCTTCAACTCTGCTGGACAGGCCACATTTAGCTGTCTACCAATGGTTTTCTGCCAGGTCAAGAGAGATTCCAGCAGTAAACACTCACCAGGTTTTCCTTCGGGGGAGCACAATTTCTTCATGTGCAACTACGAAAAACAATATTCAAATTGTTATTAGACACAGAGCCCAAAGAAAATCATGAAAATCAATTTAAGCTGATCCAGCTCAAAGTACTAAGCAAGGAGTTTAAAACCACAGTTTAATGCAGGCCACGATTCACTGCAATGGTAATAAAAAAGGTGGCTGAATACTGCAGCAAAGTGCCCTTTCGAGTTTCTGCTCCAGCTGCTCAGGTCCTTCCACCCCAAGGATCAATTTTCCCACGTTTTCCCAAAGAGGAAAAAAGAAGCACAACAATACCAAAATAAGCAAGCCAGAGGTTGTTAGTAAAGCATCTCAGCAAATTCATTCATGTGCGACCTCCTGATTATAACCCCCAGAGCCAGGGTCTGCAGAGGCACTTTTCCCACTGCCTCTGAGTTGATGGTTCCACAAGCTGTTAGTGCCTGGCAGAAGCCTGTTCCCATGTGCAGCATGGCTCTGAGCATCCCAGCTCACTCTGCTCACAAAACTCAGAGCACAAATACAGTTAAGGAGTACAGAGAAGAAGGAAGAACATGAAGAAAACTGTCAGGATCAAGGTGGAAAACTCCTTTTTATAATTTATTCCATTTCAAATGGCAGCTGGACAAATCAAGTTCATGCTCCTGGAGCAGAGAGCTGATTGGTGGTGAGGGTAATCAAGTGAAGCCAGGAAATCTCTGCACAACGAAGAATGGGAAAGAAAATCCAAGAAGGGGAAAGAGGGCATTCCATTTGTATCTTCCTTACCTCCAAACACACATGTGTTTAAAAAAACACATGCAAGGAACAAGTAATTAAGACATCATACCTTCTGAATTGTCTGCGGTCTTCCCAAGAGTTGTACTGCTAGAAGAACACCTGTAAATGAAGCAGAGTTTCTACCTGTTCCTAAATGTCACATAAACTTACGAGGTATGATTTTACCATCCCACATGTTGTATTTTGCCTGCAGAGCACCCAGTGGAGCAGGACCTTTTTGCTTGAGGCATACCCTGAAAGCAACCTCCCCTCTTCATCTGCTTTTTCATACAATCATAGAAACAACCAGGTTGGAAAAGACCTTTAAGATCATCAAGTCCAACCTTTACCCCAGCGCTGCCAAGGCCACCACTAACCCATGGCACGGAGGGACTCGTCTACACAGTTTTGAACTGTGATTCCACCACTGCTCTGGGCAGCCTGCTCCCATACAGTGAAGGAACTATTCCTAACATCCATCTGAACCTGCCCTGGTGCAGCTTGAG